TAGTAATCACGTTCGGGGTATGGGAAGTAGTAGTAGTTATAGAATAAGTTAAAATAGCGGGGACAATATTATTAGCAGTACTAGCAATAGTCATCGCGTAAGCCATAGGGGAGGTACTGAAGGTGTCTGCCACGCAGCGCAACTACGCTAACTCATCCTGACCTCGTCTGCCATGACCTACATTCACGTGGGACGAATTATCCACTCCGCGCGCTATTGGCCTTTCTAACGCTACCGATTGACTTGCCGTTTGATAAATGTGTAAGCTCGAAGTCAATAAATATTAAGGCTTCATTTGATTCGTTGCGGGCGAGAGAGCATGAATCAGGGCAGGCAAGGTTTTACAACAGTCCATCTATCCACCGACACAACTGGACTTGCTCACAATTATTATGGTTGTGCCTTTTTATTCAATATTATACCTTATAACGCTTTTACGTGTTGCGTCATTATTATTTTGAGATAACACTCGCTAGGCGTTTCACTAGTTCGTCCAGCGTCGGAATTCGACAGTACTCTTAGGCATAGTAGTATTAAAAGGAGCAGAGAGAATAGTATAAGGAGTAACGGCAGCAGCTCCAACAGATCTAAACGTGTTGAAAACGGTTTTGTTGCAGCTGCCTAATTAGGTCTATCTATATGAATAAGGGCTTCAACTCATTGAGTTTAGGAGCAAAGTCGATAATAAGAAGTTAAGTATCATAGGCGGAGGTAGGGAAGCTGAGTGACATTTCGGGACCAGGGTCACTTGAGCAGCGGAAATAGTAATAGTGGAATTTGCAGTAATAGCATTAGCAGCAGTAGGAGTAGAATCAGTAATCGTATCAACCATATAGAAAGTACAATTCGTAATAATAGTGGTAGTAGTAACGGCAGTAGCAAGAGTAGCAGTGACAATTGTATTAGCAGTTGTAGCAGTAGCAATCCGTTAGTCGTAAGATGCTTGCTAGTTGTAATGGTAGTAGTATTAGTAGTAGTGGTTGTAGTAGTAGTAACCGACAGCGAGGTCAGAGTGTGTGTTAAGCTAGGTCTGCGAGAACCAGAATGAACGAGGTGGTGTCAGTGGCTTATAAATATACAGGCAATAAAGAAGAAGAGGTTGCGATCACTGGAACAAGTTTTATTTTCTCGACGTTTCGGATTCCGTCGGGAATCCTTAATCATAGCTGATGGTAGCATAGTCATAGTCATGCGCATCCTCTTCTTCTGAACTGCTTCCTAGAACTCACATATTCTCCACTATTGGCAATACAGGCAATAACTGGTCGCATTAAAGGCGGTTATTATATCAATAATCGTCCGGTATAATACCATGATAGTTCAACTGATGGCTTTGAATGGACTTATTTTTGATCAGCTACAAAAACGGTTATAAAAGTTGTGTGTACTTTTTGAGACTGACTTTAGATACTCTTACAAGCTCAAATATTTTTTTTAGAAAAAGTGTCCAAATATCTGTTTTCGTAATACGTTCATAGCCATATGCCTCTCCTTTGCATTTACTATGCATATTTGCATATTTTGGTTTGAAGATATGTTCAATGATGAGATTTTTAAGGACCTTATAAGGTCCTTTCGACCGTCATCGTATCTGTTTTTTAAGTAATCATCCTTGTCAAGGGTACAGCCTTGCATGCATGGCAGGCAGGGTCAGTGCATCTGAAACCGTTAGCTGAGACGACGAATTAACTTTGGACATAGGTGCCCATCATTCTAACGTCAAAAACGTCTCGTGGGCCTCCAATCACCTCACACCACTTGGAATGGAAGTCAAATACAGGCCAGAGGCAATCATTAGGCGTTCGGTTGTGAAAGCAAATGATCCACTGCTACGGAAATAAACATCCGGAGTCATCTATTTCATCGAGTGCATTTGTGGACGAACCAATTACTTTGAAGAAATTGGGGGACTGCTACAGACGCGAATCGCTGACGACGCCAATTCGCTCATTCGACGTGACCCGGCCACACATTCAATTTCGATGAGGCCGATATTTGCGAGAGGGTGATAATCGCGTGAGCCGGGAGTTTCTCGAGTCATGATTTATGGGCCCTCTCCAATCTATGAACAAGTGCAATAACCTCCCCAGCCCCTATATTCGCTATCAAGACCTGGTTTGGCCAAAGCTATCAGCCACTCGAGAAGCTCGCAGCCGAATATACTTTCTAAAGATAATTTGGTCGAGCCAGGTGGCTGAGCAATCATCACTCCAACCTTCAAAAACTGGTGATTACATGTCAGCCTGTAACGACCCGCACGCCGGCCAACCAACATGAAGTGCAACAGAAGGCCGTCATCATCGCTGAGGGGGGAAGCCGTTCCTTGTCATGGGTATGCAGTAGCCTAGAGATTGCATCCTATAAATACTGCATCTTCCTGTGTACGAAGCAACCGTATCTGAGTTCGAGCTGGAATCCGAAGCGTCAGGCGAATAAAGTTCTCGTTCCAAAAAGGTTCATCCTCAGGAATATTGGCGAACGTACTAAAAGCCTGCTACTCTAGCGGCAGAAACGAAAAACGTGTTCATAAGATTGCCTTCCGTAGGCGACGCAACAAGCGAACTGATAAAACGACGTGTGAAGGTGACGATAAAAAGTGCTTTTCCCGCGCGAAATTACGCGTCTTTTTCACGAACTTTCCCTCCTAAAATTGGGTGAGAGGGGTAAAGACTGGCAACGGTTGAAGGCCACATCGATGTGCATTTTCTCTTTAACCTGCTTCTGTGGAGCAGGATACACTGGTCGAACAACGAGGTGCCTGGAAAAGAGTGTACATGTACACGTATCGGCCTGGTTAAATAAAGGTAAAACTAGATCAATCAGGAGTTCTGTTCTTGTACATCTTGTCCATACGAATCACTGAGTTGATCCTAACGAAGCCTTTCGGGTTGTCTACCGGACACCAGCCAACTTCTCCAAGGACCTACGCCAACGGATGCTAGCCACAGGCGGGGCAGTGTCAATCCGTTTAGCAAAACCAGTTCTCTGCTGTCAAAAGACCTTGGTGCAAGCGATTGGTCTCACCTCACCGACTTCAGACGGGACTCACACGCCGCTCGAAGCCACAATGAAACTCACACCAAGCGTCTGACCTGCAGAACTCAAAGAACGAATTGTGAGAATGTCCTCCCTCCCCCACAATCCGCACGCCAACGTCGACACCTCGGCTCTGGCATGCACGAGACAAGGGAACGAAGAGA